TCTTGGCGTCTCCGCTGAACGTGGGCGCTGTGTACTTCACGCTTTGGTATCCCACGCTCGCACTACCGAAGACAGCAGCACCACTTCCCATGGCGCTGCTGAAACAAGCTTGATTGTGAGCAGCGGCTACTCTCACCTCTTGGGGGTCTGAACCCCCTACTTCGCCGCTGTGTCGTCCCGAAGGACCAGACTCTCTTCGCAGGTCCGCTGCCTGCGCGCTCCCGTCGTACTGCACGGTCCCAAAATGACCTGCAGTGCTTGTGGCGACGCTCTCCACGGCGCCGCCGCTTTCAGCGGCGCCCTCCGTGGCACCGCCGGACTTCTCCTCTATACGTGCAGCAAGTCCTCCGACCAGCTGCACCAGCTGGCCCATTTGCTGTGTCAGCGAACTGATCTCAGACCGCATGCTGTCGATCTGCTCGCTGCTATTTGTGTCTCCTGCCTGCGAGCCGTCCGGAGTGGTCCCTCCGGTTCTGCGGCCCGCCATCCCTAATGGACTCCCTCGAGGGAATAAACACTAGTGTGTTGGTATGTCCGCCATTGGGAGGAGGAGACACGCTTTAACTCTCTCTGATTAGGCACCCGCGGGAGCGAGGAAAGGAAGGGAAGAAGTGGCCCTCCCGAATTCGGGGAAGGGGGCCCACACATAGTATCCTTTTTCAGGCATACGCATGCTCCTGTCTACGTACCCCCCGTGCTGCTAGCAGATCTACCATGCTCGTATCCAGACACACGAACACTGGCTAGTCAAATGGTTTATTTAATGTTTGGCGGCAAAAGTTTCACGCACGGGTTCGAATCCCGGCTACTCACCTTCCCAAGTACCATTAAGTTCTTTTCAAGCAGCGTCTGGCGAGGGGTCCGTCCCCGGAGATCCCTGCTCTCAATCCCAAGCCATAAACCCAGCAATCAATGTGATCCAGCCGGGTGCAAATGAGCTCTGAGCAAATCTTTTGTAAGTTAAAGTTACCCCATTAGTCTAGTCAGTGCTGACTCGTCTAGTGGTTTAAAAGTAGGCGATAAAGGACTCACGCACGGATTCAAAACCACCCGGCTGGTCACTGGGAATTTAGAAGTATCTTGTGTGAAACAAACATAGACTACACCATTAGGCTGATGGTCTAACATTCGGCAAAAATGGATTTACGCACGGGTTCAAGACCCGATTGGTCACTTTCCCAAGTAACATGAAGCTCTTTTCAGGCAGCGTTTGGCGAGGGGTCCGTCCCCGGAGCTCTCTACTCACGAACCCAAAAATGTGATCCAGCCGGCCGGGTGCAAATGAGCTGTGAGCATATCTTTTGTAAGTTAAAACACACCATTAGTCTAATGTGGTGTAACTTCATCGATTAGGTCATGGAGTCTCATACTGTCTTCAAGCCTTCAGCTGCTCAGGTTTAGATTGCGTTCGAGACTCCATGCTCAAGCAGTTTCCGGTTTTGTCTGGACAATTGTACAAGGACGCGCAGTTGACCATGGAGGCCCCTTTTGGGCGACATGACACTTGTTTGGAGGACATGTGGGAGGCTTTGGACAAGCGTACGGTAACTCACACGCCTGCAGTGAACGGGCAAGAATTTTTTGCTGTCTTCCACAAACCTCAGTAGTTCTTCTGCTGTTTCGCGTGCTGTGGCTTCTTCGGCGTTGCGCTCGTCTTCCACTTCATCTTGGAGCAAGGGCTCTTCGTCTGTCTGCTGTGATGAGTGTAGATCCGCAACCCATTGATGACCGGGACCTTTCATGCTCCATTACAGTGATTGGCCTCTGCAAGGCCACTAACAAGAGGTATACAATTTCGCCCTCGAGTACCCAACAAGATCCGCCTTTGTTTACTCCGTTGGTCTCTATAATAGCAAGCTCGGCGAGATGCTCTTCGGCTGTTCAAAGGAAAATACCTCAAATGTTTGGGACAGGATCATTCTTTCAAGCTCTGCACGCGTGGTTTTATGAACGCCACTGGTTTGCTCAACCCTGACATCAAGTTTCAGATGGAGACAGACCCCGATCTTTGGGGTAGGTGGCAAAAGCGCATGACTTCGCACAGGCGCGCGGGTCGATATGCCCCCCGTAACAATTCATTTGTAACAATTCATCTTCAGCACCTCCACGCCGTAATGTATCCGACAAGAAATCGGCGTCCAACACAGAGTCCTCTTCCGTTTTGTCGGAGTCTTCGACTGCCAACATTAGAGGTGGTGAGAGAAAAAAATGACGTGTCGATGGCGAGTTCAGCCGGTACTGCCGCCAACACCTTCCACCGTGCGCCCTTCTGGTGTATCTTAAGATGTTCGTGTCCAACCTACTTCTTTCGGTACGCCCAGATCTGTATTTCAATCCCCCTAAGTTTCTCGGACCGCCTCTTCGCAGCCCACCTCATCGTCTGCTGGTTCTGGACGTGACAAATCCACTCTGGCAGCAACTTTGTGGAGTGGGCAAAAGGGAGGTATGATAGCGAGCGGTTCAACCCAGCTCACCTCGTCGTCTCGGGTTTTAGAAGGAATAAGAAACTTGCCCTCTGCTATTTGTAAAGATTATCCAGGTGTTGTCAAACAGGGATCTTCTCGAGTAGTACGCGAGCCTTCTTCCACAGTCGTCCGGAATTTTACCGCCGATGCTTCTTCTACCAATTCTTCGCGACTTTCGTTGTCTCAGACCGTCCGTTGCCCCCGTGTGGTAGCACCTGATACAAATAAGTTTTCCTCTGCCGCCCATCAAGTGTTGGCTGCACCGCCGCCATCGAGATCGGATGGTGGCGCCCACCAAATTGTGGAAGGTTCGGCTCCTTTGTCAAGGGGAAGTACTCAAGAGCACCCTGCACCAACTCGCCGAAGCCAGCATATTGCGGGAGTGAGTACTCCTAACAAACACGTGTCGAATAGCCGCTTTGCCAACATTGACCCAGCCGGAGTTGCCGCCCGTAGGCCGCCCTCTGGAACAAGAAGCGCGCTGTCGCCCGCTTCTACCTCGCTTTCAGGTCCTCCATCTTTGCATGCATGACCCTTCCGCTTGGTCATTCCAACCCCGCTGTGCCTGGTTCTCTTTCGTTGCCGATTAGCCCCGCACAAGCACAGTCGTTTGACGACACGCGTGGATATTTTGCGAACAACGTTTTTCTTTTTTCGAAACCTCCTTCGATCATCTCGCAGTGGACTCCTTCGACTTTTGACGTCCTGGGGGTGCGTTACTCATGTGGTAACCAATCTATGATGTCGGAAAAAGCTAAGCAGGCACGTACGACGAAATTATGGCCACTTCTGATCCGGCGCAACACAAGTCAGGTCGTCAAGTACGTCCGTTCGATTATGCTAAATGGGAGCGTCGTCGTGAAGAGATTGTGCTGACGGGTTCGTATGCCAAATTTGCTCAGAACGTTGCCATTACACAATATTTGTTGGCTACAGGCAATCGTACACTTGCAGAAGCTAGCCCCTTTGAAACTATTTGGGGTATTTGCTTGCCTGCACACCATCCACATGCTGCAGACCCGTCCAAATCATCAACGTCTGGCAAAAACTTGCTTGGATCAGTATTGATGAGAGTTCGGCTTTTACTGCGAGATCGCCCGCTGGCGAGCGACGATACTGCCGATTCTGCTTTTCCCGAGCCCCCTTCTTCCCAGCTCCCTTCACCGCCAAGGCGTCGTATTCACGAAGTAGCCTCAGCGGGAAGGCCGCCGGCTCACGATGACCAAGATACTGGTTCGGCTGGCGTGCGTATAGACGGCCCTGGGGATCATGCTCCTGGAGTGCATCGTGTTGCACCCACTTTTGTTTGCGATGATAACCCTCCTCTTTTGGAGCATGGGCTTGATCTGGTAGGTGGAACTCTTATAATTGATTCCGATTCTTACACCACCCGAGTTTTGCTTCATGGTGAGCCAACTGCTACTTCGCAACTTCCGCGGGTGGCTTTATCGGGTTCGGGCTCTCCTGCGTCCTTCGTGACCGACTCTGTGGTAACTGCTATGATCGCCGCTGGTGCTTTGACACCTGGGAGGATTCGCGTGTCGCCTCCTCGCTGCTGTGGTGAATTTGGCGATGGGTCTGGTCTCGAAACCACCACATCTGTTCGCCTCACTGCCAACTTCCTGAATGAAGATCGCGCTACAGCTTCTTTGGCGGTCTGGGCTTGCATTGTTCCAGACAAGGTCATGGGATATGCTGTGCTCTTGGGACGCGACAGTGGGATGCGTTTCAATTCTAGGACATTTTCAACTCTCCCTCGCCCTGGACCGGACGGTCGTGTAATGGGTGCTCTCACGCTTTCTACGCCTTTTTCGGGGGGAGCTTGTGTTTACGCTACACATGACGAGGCGCCGGAGTCTTCGTTTCACCTCAAGTATGCCGGCACTTCGGACATTTCTTTGGGACCGAAACCTGCTCTCATGGAAGGCAACCTCGTCCGTTCTTCAGGTTTGCCTGCTTTGATTGGTGAGTATTTGGGGTTCTTTCGACCTGAAGTTGGTGCTCTTTCGTCTCCGGATGCGTTTGTGTCCAATGGACTTCAGCGCATCCCCCTCGCAGGTTGTGCTGAATTGGAGCCAGGTGCGCTTCTTGGAGTTGCCGCTGCGCCCTCGTTGCGTGTGCCTGTGGAGCCTTTGACCAAGTCTTTCATGTCCTCAACTTCGTCACCTTCGTCGAGTTCGCCGTCTTCGAACTCGTCGGCTCCTTCGACATCGACGACAGCCTCTCTGGTCAACACCGTTGATCCCAAGCCAGAAGCACGACAACCTTCGAACCCCGCGCCAGACCCCCCTCCGCCGGAAGCGCCCCCACAAGAACTGATGGATCGCCTGTCAGACGCGCAACCCTCCAGCTTCTCGCTTTTGTGGGATAGATTGCCGCCGCACATGCATGCCATCGCTTTTGACCTTCGTAGCCCTGGATGGTCGCTACAGGCTATTGATCGTTTTGCAGATGCATGGTGCGATTATTCTGATGTGCTTTCCACTTCCAAGACGGACTTTGGTGCTTGTGATGTTTTGCCCTTCAGCCTTTCTGTTCCTCCTGGGACGAAGCCTGTCGCTTCACGTCCCTACCGCATCAATCAATTGATGCAGTAGAAGGTGGACGCAGTTTTAGATCAATATTTGGCGGCTGGGCTTATTCAGCATTCCACCTCTCCGTGGGCCTCTCCTTTTGTGGTCATCCCCAAGAAGGATGGCTCGGTTTGCATCACCGTCAACTACAAGCGCCTTAATGCACTGGTGGATTTAGACGGACAGCCTCTTCCGCGCGTGGACGGCATTTTGGACTCTTTGTATACAGGGAAGGTATTTTCCATCTTTGATCTCAACTCTGCCTTTCACCAAATTGTGTGCGACGAGGAGACCGTGCCTCTCACAGCCTTTGGCACGCCTGCACAGCTCTTTGAGTGGCTGCGAATGCCGCAAGGAGCTAACGCGAGTCTTTCGTGGTTCGTGAAGGTCATGAACCGTGTGGTGCGAGGTCGGGACCGCGTCTTGGCGTATTTGGACGATGTCATTTAGCTAGGAGCTAACGCGAGTCTTTCGTGGTTCGTGAAGGTCATGAACCGTGTGGTGCGAGGTCGGGACCGCGTCTTGGCGTATTTGGACGATGTCATTTAGCTAGGAGCTAACGCGAGTCTTTCGTGGTTCGTGAAGGTCATGAACCGTGTGGTGCAAGGTCGGGACCGCGTCTTGGCGTATTTGGACGATGTCATTTAGCTAGGAGCTAACGCGAGTCTTTCGTGGTTCGTGAAGGTCATGAACCGTGTGGTGCAAGGTCGGGACCGCGTCTTGGCGTATTTGGACGATGTCATTTAGCTAGGAGCTAACGCGAGTCTTTCGTGGTTCGTGAAGGTCATGAACCGTGTGGTGCAAGGTCGGGACCGCGTCTTGGCGTATTTGGACGATGTCATTTGCTTGACCAGGAACCATTGGAGCATGTGCGTAACATTATTGAGTTTTTCAGATGCCTACGAAAGTACAACCTCAAGCTGTCTCCAGGGAAGGCCCGTGTCGGAGCTACTCACGCCAATTTCCTGGGCCACACCATCTCCCCAGCCGGCGTTAGTCCGGATGGCGACAAGGTCCGGGCGCTCACGAAGATGGCACCGCCGGCGAATGTCAAGCAACTTCGGAGTCTCTTGGGCGGTTTAAGCAACTACGGGAAATTTCTGAAGAATCTTGCCACCAAGGTAAGGCCGCTCAACGCTCTCCTCAAACAAGGCGTTCAGTTAAAGTACACCCCGAGCATGGTCACGATGGTTAAATCGCTGCTCCACGACCTTTCCCGCCCCCCGATTTTGGTTTTCCCTGATTGGGATGCGGCTGAAGACAACAGTCGCTCTCTTCGTTTGTGCTCAGATGCCTATTCAGACGGGTTTGGCGCTTCTCTAGAGCAAGAACAGTAAGATGGCACTGTGCGGCCTATTGTGTACATTAGCCGCGCTACTCTTCCTGCCGAACGCAATTGAACCGCTTTGGATTCAGAGGCTGGTAAAATTGTCTGGGCTATTAAACGGCTTCGCGGATACCGGTCGACCAAGTTTGTCATTTGTTCTGATCACAAGGCTTTGGAAAGCATTGGCAAGGTTGGCGATCAAAATGCTCGTGTGCAACGTTGGTTGGAGTTTTTGTCCACCTTCACGTACACTTTGGAGTACAGGAAAGGTTCGGCGAATGGCAATGCGGATTTTCTCTCGCGACTGCCGTTGCCAGCGAGAGCGAAGGACAAGACCGGTCCTGACAGCATCGACGGTATTGACCAAGCGGGTATTTTTCTCATCCGGGCTTGCGGGTTCACCAATCATTCGTCGTCCACACAGGAGGTCGGGTTGGGTGGGTTCCGCCCTCCTTGTTCCGATGGCGTTCTTCCACCCTTTCCGTTGGAAGATTCGGACTTTGGAGATTTTCGCAGACATGGACCACGCATGGACGAGCTTGCATTTTCGCCTCCGTCTGGAGACGATTGCATGAGTTCTTCGGGAGTTTTCGCGGTTTCGCCCGCTTCTGGAGATACTGTGCCTGTTTATGCGGCTCCTTTCGTACCTAACAAGTCGCATTGTCCACGCCGGCATGCCACGTTTTATCTTCGTTGCCGGAACAACGACCCCTTGTTTTTTCGAGGACTAGGGCCAACACTTCAGCTGCGTCAGGTTCTCCTGTCGCTGGCCCCACATATTTTAGGTGACAGCCAAGGGTAATCGCAATTATCGCCTGACTCGTACTCGCGTAGCACACCGCGAGCTTGCGAGGTCTCGAGGAGAACGGTACATGCCTCCAGGATATAGTCTTGTGTCTCACGAGGCTTGGCTTCGTCGCTTTAGTGCCTCTCTTCTGCCGGTAGGCGCGAGACTGTGGTACAAGGCACGGGATGGCCTAGTGGTGGAAATTGGGGCCCATCGGGACGGATCATATGTGGTTCGACTTTTCGATGACCCAGCTCCCCGGATTCTTACCCTGCCCGCGGTATTTTACTCTACCGCTTTGGACGCGGCGTGTGGATCGNGGATGGCCTAGTGGTGGAAATTGGGGCCCATCGGGACGGATCATATGTGGTTCGACTTTTCGATGACCCAGCTCCCCGGATTCTTACCCTGCCCGCGGTATTTTACTCTACCGCTTTGGACGCGGCGTGTGGATCGTGGTGTTTGGAGCAACATCGTTCGCGCCCCTTGGGCAACACCAATGTCAGGGGTCCGCCTCGTGCTGACTCTATACCGTCAGCTGTTCCCAGGATTTCTTCTTAGAGTTGATCCTTCGTGAGCGTGTCTGCCTGCTTTGGTTTCTGGTTTCACAACTTTGAGTCTTTGTGTCTTCGCCATTTCCAAATTTTCTTTTTTGTATATGAGTTTTTCTGTTTTGTTTTGTTTTGTATCTTGGACATTGGGACACGAAAACAAAAAAATGAAATGAAACGAAAAGAAAAGAAAAGAAAAGAAAAGAAAAGAAAAGAATGCCAAGACTAGCAAACAAGTGTCCACTGTCCAACTTCGTCGTTTCTCCGTCCTCAGTTGTTGCTGATGGGAAAAGACGAGTGTGTGTCTCGTTCTGAGTAGGTTGTGACAGAAGACGATCTTCCTGGATCGACCGTGCCTTGTGTCTTTCCCTTGTTGCCTGCATTCCTTATTGGACTACCGCGACCTGGATGTATGTGTGTTCACTTGCTGTTGTGTATCTCCCTTGTCGCCCGCCTTCCGAAATGGATTGCCGTGAACTGTGTTCATTCTTTTGTGTTTTCTTCAAATTCTCTCCCTGGCTGTCTGCAGTCACCAGTGCGTTGCCGCACCTTGGATAGGTCGTGCTTTATTGTTTTGTGTTCCTTTTGGTTAGTTTTGACGCCTAACAAGCTTCAGCAACCTTCATGCTCTAGCTCGCCACCGCTCACAGCGTGAGTCGAAGTATGAAGGATTCGTTCCGTTTACCGAGTGTGGTTTCGATGGTGTTTGCCTCTGAATACTTGAAAAAAGAGTTCCCCAAGTTTCGTCGGTATTGTTTGCCTCTGATACTTGGAAAAATTGTTCCCCACGTTTCGTCGGTGTTATTTACCTCTGACGTTTGGAAAAAGCGTTCCCCAAGTATCTTCGGTGTCTTTTGGCCTCTGAATACTTGGCAAAAGAGTTCCCCAAGTTTCATCGTCCATTTTGCAACTCATGCTTGATTATTTTAGCTTCTTTGACGGAGGCATGTCGACTGCGCTCCATGCTTCGGGACTGCATACCGTGGCGTCGCCTTCTCCTGTGGCCTTCGTCAACGCTCGTCACCACCCGCTTCATTTAACTTTTCTCCGTCATCGTCACCTTCAGGCGAATTTTTCATCACCGTCGAGATTCTGAGGTTAGTGTTGTGTGTGTTATATGTTATATGTGTTTATGTTGTGTGTATGTGTTCAATATCGCCAATGTACACGGGATACGGGCGGTTCGTCGCGTCTTCTTCTCCGCCCTCGACCTTTTCTGTCCTGGAGCAATTACCGTAAGGTTGCGAGTCAGCGCACAGGGGTGCGATCGATTTTCAAAGCGAAACTTCTCCACAACCAGGAGGGTGCGAGCTCCAACTGATACTTCTCAGGAAAGCTCTCGATGAGATATTTCCAAAACACCCTTTTCGACAGTGGTAACCTGCTGGTTGTGGAGAAATGACGCTTTGAAAGTCGTTCGCACCCCTGTGCGCTGACTCGCAACCTTACGGTAGTTTTGCTTCCTTGCGCTATGTTGGTGGGTAGGTTTTATTGCAGGTCTAGTCATGGTCGGTCCTGTTGGTCGTTCAACCTATCTGTCTGTGATGTCATGCCTNGTTTTGCTTCCTTGCGCTATGTTGGTGGGTAGGTTTTATTGCAGGTCTAGTCATGGTCGGTCCTGTTGGTCGTTCAACCTATCTGTCTGTGATGTCATGCCTTCCTTACCAGCGAAATCAACTCTATCGCCATGAGGTGGTGTGCCTGCCGTGGTTTCCCATTGCTTTTTTTTTACTTGGGTTTTGAGTTAATCTTTTGTCATTATTGGGGTAATTCTGGACTCTTTCGGGTAGTCACTCTCATTCCTCCAGTTGTTGAGATACGCGCCCGTACGCGTAAAAGCGTGATGTCTTGCCCTTACTTCCGACCGAACACGTATGTGTGCCGCACAGAGTTTTGCATGCGTCATGCGATGGTTCTTTCCCAACCGGCGTTTCGATGGAAAATCGATTTCTTTCCGAAACATTGTTGGCAGCGCCGAGGGGACAGGCGCCAAGTGCTGTTTGGTTCGTGGTGTGATAAATGAATTTCCTGTATTGATGAGGTTTGGATGAGGATCTAAAATTGTATGAAATACTTCTCTTCGTGATCGACTATTGGTGTAGAACTTGTTCTAGCTTGGAGGGGCTTCAATCGGGTGTCGGTACTGTTACAGTTTTGGATTGTGCGTGTCTGGATCTGTCCGGAAGTTATTATCGTTTTCGATGTGGCTATCGCCGATCCACGAAAATTTGTTGCTGTTGTCGGCCTTTTGTCTCCCACGGGAAAGAGGATTTTATCGATCTTGTGAGTTCCGATAAAGGTTGCCGTGATTTGCTTCCACGTTCTGGTGAGAGAAGAAGAGGAGTCTAAAGCTGGTGCAGAGAACATGGGATCTTTTGCACCGCCCTCGACGCGCTTAGTGGCTCAAGAGTACCAAGGGCTAGTCCTGATCAACGCGCGATTCCCGTCGGAAACGTATAGCGCTTGCTTCTCGAAGCGATTATGGTCGTACGGAATGAATGCCAAGACGACCCCTCTCAATTGGCTGCCCTTTGTCCGTTTGGCGGCCGGAGAAACGACGACCGGATCGTTGCAGACCCAATACACAACAATATTGTAGGTACTAGGGTATGGCGGATGAGGTACGTTGTGTAAGAAATGCAGCGAATAATATGATGGAGATAGAATAGCACAACAGTTACGGATAACGTTGGGCACGATTTATCTACTTAATTACGCATGCAGGTGATGAGCCCAAAGACTAATCTTTTTGGAATGGAACTCTCACCTTGGAAAAAATCAACGCGGCAGTGAGCGCATGGCGGTGCCGATTCGGCGTATGTATATGTTGGGTGACCGTTACCAAGTATGGCAAGGATATCTAATCTGGTCTTGAGAGCAGCAGCTTTTCGATGTTTGGTGAATGTACAATCAACATCATTGATAAACTCTCCCTCTTGATCGACAAGGGTGACGTTGGGCGATAGTGCACTCACCGATGTAGCTCCATCAACAACATGATTCTTGGTGTTGAGCTCAAGAAAAATCCGCGAGCATGTCGCGGCATCCGGCTCTCTACTGCACGTTTCTGGCGGCAGTGACATGCTGCGTGTATTCCGGTCGACAGCTGCAGCTCGAGGTGCACACGAGGTAGTCGTAATAATGTATTCGTCCAGAAGGCCCAGCTCGTGGTGCTGACTGGGCCGTATTTGCGGAGAGAAGAACAGCGAACTACTTACGCCGAGATGTTTCATACACCACCGATACCAAAGAGATGCCGGCGTTCAGCAGAAGGAGAAAATGTCTCGAACGCAAAACAGCACAATGATGGGGACGATGACGACAGCGAAGTACAGAAAAGCATAATCGAAAGTGACCTTGCCTCCATCGTCTTCGTCGCTGGAACCAGCCGCCCCTCCTACCCTCCTCCCGACTCCCCAATGTTGGGTTATTCGCCCCCACGCCGCCAGTCCGGCACCCCGCCGTCACCACTCCAGTCATTCCCCCTCCAGCACCTTTCATTCAGTATTCCGTGCGCACGAAGGCGTATATGGCTTGTCGCGCCCCTCCAACGTGGTTCGATCGTAACCTGAACCGCCCACAGCAGTCATCACCATGCCACACGTTTACGACAAGGCAGTTGCCGAGCTCATGTACCAAGTGGAGACTATCACGGTTTTGGAAGTGGCCACC